GACTCGAGAATAGTGAGGGAGAAAAGTAAGAGGTAGTGTACTATATCCCATACTTGATATCTGATAGGACTCTCCGTTAAATATCAGTAGTGGGATAGAAAGACTAATTTTCAAAGAAAATGACATCCATAGTGTGTAGAAATGACGGGTCTTGGGACAAAACATTTGTATCCTTTTTTATTTGGTGAATATCCAACAAAAACACATTTAATGGCCCGTGGGTCAAGTTTACCTCTGAGGTGAGTATGAACATGAACATGAACATAAGCGGAACAACCAAAAACTTTATAGGGAAGAGTATAAAGAATATGAGATTGCGGAAATGTCCTGAGGAGAACATCATAGGGTGTTCGAAATGAGAGAGTTCGGGAGGGCATACGGTTTATCAAGTATGCAGCAGTAAGAACAGCCTCTCCCCAAAGAAATTTTGGAATGTGGGTAGTAAACATGATTGATCAGGCTACTTCAATAATGTGTTTAATTTTCCGTTCAACTATGTCATTTTATTGTAAAGTATTAACACATGAACTTTGATGGATAACGCCATGGTCAGAAAAATATTGGCTCAAATTGGTTTCAAAGTATTCACACTCATTGTCTGACCTCACTACTTGGATGTTGGTGTGAAATTGATTTTGAATCATAATGTGAAATTTTTTAAAAATCTGGTCAACTTCATATTTTTCTTTCATGATAAAAATTCAGGTAATTCTAATGTGATCATCAACAAAAGATATAAACCATTTTATCCCGATAATATTAGTGACCCGAGAGGGACCCCATACATCACTATGAATTAATGAAAAAAGTTTTGTGGGTTTGTAAACAGAACTGAGAAATAAATTTCGAATATATTTGGACAGCTGACATACTTCACATTGAAAAGAAGTTGGATTTTCATTTCGAAACAAATTAGAAAATAGTTTTTTAAAGTACACGAAGTTAGGATGTCCTAAACGGTAATGTCATAACATGATAGGGCATTCCATATTTAAGTTGTTTACAGATTTAGGATTAGTACATACTGCATGATCAGTATACTAGCATTGTCAATCGTCATCCCCGAGTCCAAATCCTGAAATTCACACAGTTTAAAGTTAAATGTAACCACACAATTCAAATCCTATGATACTTTACTTACTGACAGGAGATTGCAATCCAAATTTGGAACATATAGCACAGAGTACAAAATTAACTTGGGTGTCATTGCAATTATTCATGTTTTCGACCTGGGAGTTAGAGCCATCAACAATTTTTACTGAGAATTTATTTCTGCACTTACTATATTCCTTGAATAATGAGATATCCCCAGTCATATGATCGGAAGCACTTGAGTCAATAATCCATATTCCCTTTTTTGTGGAATAAGTTGAGAAACCATAAAAATTAACTTTGTGAGCTGTAGAAGCATTACTGAGAACCATATTGGGTGAAAACACTTTTTGGAGGAGGCTGATTTGTTCAGGACTAAATAAAGGGCTTCCGATAGAAACGGTTGTAGTGGATCCCTCCTCTATTGAGATAAAATTGTCCCGATGAATTTCCTCAATTTCCTGCTTTCGTGTTTTCTTCTTCTCAGCCGATTCCTTCTCAGCTGGTTTCCCGTGAAGTTTCCAGCATCTTCCACGAATGTGTCCCGGCTTCTTACAGTATTCACACCATGGTCGTCCCTTTCGCTCAGTCACCCGACTTGTGAGAACAGTACCAGTTTCGGGTGAGAGAGATATGTTTTCAGCAGGATTAAGGTTGAGTTACGAGTCACCCATCATCACTTTCTTCCTGCTTTCTTCGCGTCGCACCTCCGAGAACACCTCTCTGATGTTCGGAAGAGGTTTGGTTCCAAGGATGCGTCCTCTTACCTTGTCGAGGTTTTTGTTCACTCCGAAAAGAAACTTGAAGATTCATCTCTGTTCCACGATGCTTCGGAATCTCCTGGCATCCTCTAGGCAGCTCCAACATGTTCTTCAAAAACATGAAGTTGCTACCATTTTCGAATAAGAAAATGGTAATATTGAATTACTATTTCTTCTT